GTCTCGAACGTACGTATTAGCTGAGCAGCTTCATCCTGCTGAGTCCTTGAGGGCCAGGAAAGGACCTGGTGCTTCTTGACAAGCAGCGATGCTCTCCGTCCCTGCAGCCCAGCTGGCAGGGCCCTGGCGCTTGTCTGAGGCTCTGACTCCCTGTTATTCCCCCCTCACAGAACAACGGCCTCTGCACTCTTGGCATTGAGGTCACCTACGTGCCTTCCCCGAACGGGCAGCCCCTCTGGATCTTGGGTGATGTCTTCCTCAAGGAGTATTACACCATCTTTGACATGGCCAGCAACTCTGTTGGCTTCGCCCTATCGGCGTAGAGGAGTGGAAGAGCGAAATCCAGCCCCTCTCCTGGACAAACGCACCTTGGCATCGCTGGAGCGCTACGGGGCTCCTATGGATCTTTATGTTCCTTTATGTCGCTGCATGGCTCCCTGTCCCTCCAAGATTTCTCTGTGTGTGCTCACAGTCTCTTGTTATGTATAAATGCCAACATCCCAAATTGTCTCTGACCTTCTGAGCTTGTTGAGTGACTGTCATGGTTTAATGCAGCTAGGCACCACGCAGCCGCTTGCTCACTACCCCCCTGGTGGGATGGGGGAGAGAATCGGGGAAAAAAAAGGTAGAACTCATGGGTTGAAGTAAAGACAATTTAAGAAGTAAAGCAAAAGCTGTGCACACAAGCAAAGCAAATGAAGGAATTAATTCCCCGCTTCCCATGGGCAGGCAGGTGCTCAGCCATCTCCAGGAAAGCCAGGCTCCATCATATGTAACGGTGACTTGGGAGGGCAATGCCATCGCTCCGAACGTCCCCCCCTTCCTCCTCCTCCCCCCAGCTCCGTGTGCCGAGCACGACGCCGTGCGGTGTGGGGCACCCCTGGGGTCAGCTGGGCTCCGCTGGCCCGGCCGTGTCCCCTGCCAGCTCCCCGTGCCCCCAGCCTGCTCGCTGCTGGGGTGGGGGGCGGAAAAGGCCTTGGCTCTGCGTAAGCGCTGCTCAGCAGTAAAGAACAAATCCCCC